CAGGAGGCCTGTGCCTTCCCCTTTGCTCCCAGACGAGTGACTCACAGTCTGTTTTTCTTTTTCTTTTTAAAAAATATTTTTTATTGATGTCAGAGAGGAAGGGAGAGGGAGAGGGAGAGGGAGAGGGAGACCAAAACATCAATGATGAGAGAATCACGGATCGGCTGCCTCCTGCACGCCCCCCCACTGGGGATCGAGGCCACAACCCGGACGTGTGCCCTGACCTGGAATCAAACCGTGACCTCCTGGTTCTTGGGTCGGGGCTCAACCACTGAGCCATGCTGGCTGGGCTCATTTTCCAAACTTTTACTGAATCTCCCCTGGGTGGGGAGTGAGGGTGAGGGCCTCAGTGCAAACTTGTCTCCTGCAGGCCTCTGTGGGGAGCGGGCGCCCCCTGTGGACGGAATAATGAGGTTCAGGGGCGAGCCCACTGCTGGGCTGATCTCTTTCCACCCCTCGCTGCCCAGGGCTGCTCCCACCTGGCACAGTGGGGATGGGGGTGGTGGTAGATGAGGGGTGAGGGGGGACTCCAAGGGGGGTGCACACTCCGCCCACCGCCCTCCTGAGCCCGTCCCTCCTGCCCAGGAGCTTCAGGGGACCCAGGCAGGTAGGTAGGACAGGACCAGGCAGGTAGGATGCTCGGCCCCGCCCCTGGTAGGTGGGGAGGGTGGATTTTCCCACCGGAAGCCTGGGGGCAGCGTCCTTCCCTGCACGTGGGTGGCAGAGGCAGGCCCAGCTCAAGGCCGAGGCCAGAACTCCCTCACCAGTTTTGTTTCTTGTTCCTTCTGTCCCTGGGAAGGAAGACCGAGCCTCATGGTGCAGGTCAGGTGGCAGGGACACAGGGTCACCGACATTCATCACCATCCCTGGTTCCCTGACTCCCTGACCCTGCGGTCCCGGGAGGTCACCACCGCTCTGTCCACAGCTCCGTGTGCCTGGACACGGACACACACACACCCACACAAGTCCCTCAGCCAGCTCAGGACACGCGTGTGCACGGGGACAGCTCCGTGTGCCTGGGACACACACACACACACACACACACACACACACACATGTCTAACTCATCAGCAGGACCTCTTGTCGGGTCAGGATGTCCCTGCTCCACAGGTGGTACCCGGTTTCTGCTGCTCGGCTCTCAGCCTTGGCCCAGCATGAGACCAGCCTGGGTCTGGGACGTCCTACCTGGCCCTCAACCTCTTCCCTTCTGGTCAGCTGCTGCCCACCCCCCGAGACCGTCGCGGGTCCTGACTTTATTCACGTTTCTACTCCCGTGTGTCACACTGCATTGCGAAGGGTTCCCATATCTTCCTCTCCTCACTGTTTCTTCTCTTCCAGGCTCCAATGGGTCTGGGACCCCAGGCAGTGGCCTTGGAGGGACAAGGGCCCTAGTGTTGGGGGAGGGTGCCGGAAGCCGGTCCATCCTTGCTGCTTGACACAGTCGCTGCAGGAAAGAAACATCTGCACAGCATATGTTTCAAGGGACCTGGCATATATAGCATATTGTTCTTAATATGTTTGCTCTCCTTAGTGCCATGTGTTTTAACCAAGGTCACCTCTCCGAGAAAGGTTGTTTCCCCAGGTGGGGATTTTTCCCTGAGGTTAGGGAGGGGATACAACCCCTTAACTAAGTGCCAGGTGGGTAGTTAATCACTTTAACTACAAACAATCAGGCTTAAGCTACATAATCTTTACTCCCTGGAATGGAGATAAGAGATGCCCTAACCTTTGCAATAGAAATTGACAGGATTAAAATCGACTGGTATAAATACAGATGTAACAAGACAATAAACATCAGATCCTAATCAGATCCTAACCAGAACTTGACCAGAACTTGGCTGGAGATCCTGGCTAGAGGTCCTGACTAGGCTGCTGATCAACTGAAGGCTGTCTCCGTGTCATTCCTTCTTCGCTGACTCCATCCACACCTTTGGGGACCCCTGGACCTGTTGGGGTCGGACCCCAACAGGAGGGTGGGCTGCTGCCCTATGGACCTGCCTTTCCTAGACTCGCTGCATCCTCAGAAGGGCCTGGTGGGTTCTCTCTCCCCTGAAATACTTCTTCTTAGAAGACGGAAATGCTTGAATAGCATCACTCCTTCCTCTCATTCATGTGAATGAATAAAAGATGAATTCTTCTACGTCAGGTACAAGACAGGAGCAAGGGATTCCCACTTCCCACCTGTCGCTGCTGGATTTTAGGTGCGGCCTGAGCACCAAAAGCACCCGCCCCACTGCCCCCGCCCACTCTGCCCTCGTCCGTGGTGCTGAGACTGAAAAACCTCGGCTCCGCAGCCGCTGGAAGGTTCCGGCACCAGGCGGGGAGGGACAGAGGCAGAGGCAGTCATCACAGTGCTTCAGCCTGAGCCGGGGTGGGAGGGGAGGGCTGAGCCACAGAGAGGTGACCTGCCTGTGGGGAGGGGTCGTGGGCGTGACCTGCCTGTGGGGAGGGGCATCGGGGACGACCTTGGGCTTCCTCCGTGGGCCACGTGGGGTCTGTCTGTCCGGTACCTCCTAGGATGGTGAGCAGCCTCCCTGGTCTCCTAGGATGGTGAGCAGCCTCCCTGGTCTCCACTTCTTTTCTGGTTTGGGGCCCTGAGAGAAGGTCATGGCAGTGAATTTATGCAAATGAAGTTTATGCAAATAATGACCAGCTTGTCACACCCCCTGGAGCCTGCTCCCCTGGGTGGTGCGTACTGGGAAAACAGGAAGGAGCAGGTCAGCTCCTGGCTTCTGGGTGAAGAGACCAGTGGAGCCGGCCCTACAGCCGAGCAGACACAGGCCCACCCTTGAATAAGTGCCGGGCGGTTTTCCTAACCGCCTTCCCGCCCGACTGAACCCCAACTCCACCTCTAACCCGAGCCCTTGGGTCCCAGGGGAACCTGGAGGCCGAGAGTCAGCCAGGAACAGCTTTGCAGACACACAGTCTAAGGGAGAAAGTCAACAGCCATGACACGGCCTTGGAGGAATGAAGACAAAGAGCTAACGCAGGCCGAGGGCCTTGTCTCTTGGGACTCTGGGGACTGAGGGAACGGGGGGAACCCAGGAGCCACAACGATGGAGGGAGATGGGACATCAGAGAGACCTCGGCCCCTGTTAAGTGCAGGCGGCTCCCCGGCAGGGGTCCTGTCCGTGGCCTGGGCCCTGTGCTGATGGGGCCTCAGATCCCACCCTCTCAGCAAGCCCCTCCCAGGGACGCCGCAAGCAGGACCCACCAATGAACGCTAATTCATTACTTGGCCCAGGTTAATGCTGACAACGAGACCCCCTGTGGCTTTCCGGGCAGCCCTGCAGCTCACTGGTGCTTAAAAGACCAGATGCCCGGCCGGCGTGACTCAGTGGTTGAACGCCGACCTATGAACCAAGAGGCCAGTGTTCGATTCCCGGTCAGGGCACCTGCCAGTGACTGACACCTGGACCTTAAGAACGTGTGTGGCCAGACCCTCTATGAGAGTTCCTTTCTCGTTGGGGACCCCTTTGAGAATAAGAGGTATAGACCTCCTTTCCTAAAAGGCCCATTAGGATCTTTAGAAGTTATTTCTGGTGTTCATAGCCCCAGACTAAACACCCCCCGTCCTTCAGAATCCTGGCTTGGGGACCCTGGGACCACAAGGCCTGGGCCGGGCCCTCACGGAGTGGCCTGTGGCTTCAGCCTCTACTGCCCTCTGCTGGCTGCCAAGAGGGAGGACAGGCAAAGTGCAGGTTGCTCCCTGACACTGAAATTGAGTGCTTTCTGCGGGGATGCTTGGGGCAGGTACCCCTTCAGTGGCTTTCACCAGAACCTCTACAAGGCTGTGCCTACTTGGCTGTTAAAACCTTCCACTGAATTCTTAATTTTGGTTATTGGATTAAAACATTTTGTTTCGCCAGCACCGGTTTGGCTCAGTGGATAGAGCGTCGGCCTGCGGACTGAAGGGTCCCGGGTTCAATTCCGGTCAAGGGCATGTACCTGGGTTGCGGGCACATCCCCAGTAGGAGGTGTGCAGGAGGCAGCTGATCGATGTTTCTCTCTCATCGATGTTTCTAACTCTCTATTCCTCTCCCTTCCTCTCTGTAAAAAATCAATAAAATATATTTTTAAAAAATTTTTGTTTAATCCTCACTCGATGGTATTTTTCCATTGGCTTTTAGACAGTGTGAGGGGGGAAAGACACAGAGAAATATGGATGTGAGACCCATCGATTGGCTGCCTCCCACACAAGCCCCGACCAGGGTTGGGGATCCAGCCTCCATCCGAGGAATGTGCACTTGACTGGAATCGAACCTGGGACCCTTCAGTCCGCAGGCTGATGCTCTATGCACTGAGCCACACCGGCTCGGGCTGATGCCTTCTGATTTAAACAGTATTCTGTCCAGCCCTTCTGGCGGCCATCGGTGGGACGGTCAGTCCAAGTGACCTGTCCGTGCTTCTCAGCCGAAGTCCTTGCCAGTTATGTCCTTAACTAACCTCGAGCTGCCTCCTGCACAGCATAGTAACAAATACGTAAAATGTCAGCACACCACTGTCCAGCTTTGGTTCTGGGTTAAAAACAGTTTTTGTAGAAACAACGAGCCCTTAGGAAAATCCACCTCCCCCACAGGAAGGCAGCTCTCTGTCCTCAAAACAGCGAGTGTGAGTTCTCCGCCTGCCTTATTGTGTGAGGGAGACCAAGAGCTGACATGCTCATTGTGTCACAGACACTACGTGGTTAACCACTGCGTTGACAGACCTCAGTTTCAGCTCTCCTCTGCTGTTTAAAATCACATATTCTTGCCCTAACGGCTTGGCTCAGGGGATAGAGCATCGGCCTGCAGACTCAAGGGTCCCAGGTTCAATTCTGGTCAAGGGCATGTACTTTGGTTGCAGGCACATACCCAGTAGGGAGTGTGCAGGAGGCAGCTGATCGATGTTTCTCTCTCATCAATGTTTCTAGTTCTCTATCTCTCTCCCTTCCTCTCTGTAAAAAAATCAATTAAAAAAAAAGAATCACATATTCTTTCCCAGGACATACAGGAGTATCATTTCCATTGTTTAAATGCCTTTATTTCTTTCAAATCAAACTGAAAAGGCAGGATAAACAACTTGATATTTTTGGCTACTGGGCAACAGTGTTTGGCAATTCTCAAAAAAAAAAAAAAAGATACAAATCACCACTAAGTATATAAAAACTTCAATAGAAATAACAAATGCAAATCAAAACGAGACTATTGTTTCTATTAAAGTGGCAAAATATATCTTTTTGAGAGAGAAACATGGATTTGTTGTTCCACACATTGGTGCATTCACTGGCTGATTCTTGCATGTATACCCTGACTGGAGGTTGAGCCCGCAACCTGGGCATATCTGGACGACACTCTAACCCACTGAGTTTCGTGGCCAGGGCCACGTAGTCTTTTAATGGTAACACATGCCCGGTGTTGGGACGGTTCAGCCACGCGAGCCTGTCTTACTCTGGAGGGTGAATAGCACGGCCAATCCTGAGGCATGTGCACTGCACACCCTGCGATCCCACGTTTCACCCCAAGGGAACAATTAGGAATGTGCATACAGGTTTAGCTACAACCTAACGGATTGTTTAAATAAATACAGAAATACGAGGGCAGACTAAAAACAAGGGTGTACACCAGGGGATATCTACACGCAAGAGGAGTTGGTGTGTTGTTAAATGGACAAAGCAAGTTATAACAGAGTATGGGCTCCTATTTGTTTTAAAAACCATACATACGTATAGAAAACATTGAGATGGACATACACAGCATTACCACTGGCAATTTGTGGATGGTGGAAATACGAGGGATTATGCCCATTTTTGTATTTATCTGCAATGAATGGGTACTATTTCTGTGATTAAAAAAAGGAAAGAAAAGTCGAAGCCTAATTTTAGAGAATGCTTTGCCTGGGCTTGGCGGTGCTAGGAGGGGCCACTCGCCCATAGAGGCATCTACTTGGTTTTGTTCCTTCCAACCTGAGTGGAGAATTCTCACAGTTGTCTTTCTGTGAATGCCATAATCATGGACACTAGACCACTTGTCTAGAAAACGGTTCTCTCATTTCTGCTGGAGCTCTGACCGAGGAGGAGGAAGTAGGCCAGTTGCAAAACCATGCCCAAGGCCCACCGTTACTGAGGGAGCCCTTAGAGTAAGCTCAGGGGGGGAGGGGACAAACGGACTCAGAGAGGCGGTCTGGAGTTAGTCCTCGTGCAATGCCAGGTCTCCTGGGTCTGGGAGTTGGGCGATGGGGAGGAACCTGGACCTGGCTGCACAGAGTCCTGCTGAGGCGAGTCCTTCCAGAAGAGAAACGACAGAACCACTAAAGTCCTAGTGGAAGGCGAGATACTTGGCTAAAGTCACACGGTTAGAGCAACCCCCCAGCTGTAGCAACAGAGGCCTCTGGATGGAAGGTTTGTATTGGGGGTTGGTGTAGAGATTCCAAACGAACCAGGCCCAGCAGGTTCAGTAAATGACATTATCCATTAAGGAAGTCTTTCTTGGGAACAAAGGAAGCAGTAACTTGTCCAGAAAAGACAAACCTACACACTCCTGTGCAATATGGCCAAGGCCTATTCCCCTGAGACCCCCCGTCCTCTTCCGGGGTCTTAGATCCTGGGAAAACGGCCCAGGCTGAGCTTTCCTAGGGTGGCTCCCGACGGGGCTGAAAGTCTGAATCTCAACATACAGGCTGTCAACCTCATCAGGGTTTGAAGGGAAGAGGGGCCACATTCATCTTCACCACGAAAGGCTTCTATCAACCTGGAGGTGAGGTTCTCACACCTGGCATAGGGGTGCACCTGCAGCGTTTCTGATTAAATACTAAAGCTTGTAAAGGTTATACGTTTAAAAAGAATAAATGCCTGTGAAGTCAGCCACACAACAAAGTCACTCTGACATCTGTGTGCCTTCTTGAATGAGAGGAAAAAGGTGAAGCCTCCACTTTCAGCACATGAGCATCGCGTGGCTGAAAGGTGGGCGATACTTGTCCAGAGCAAGCAGCAGGGGAGCCCCGGGTAAAGGAGAGCCCAGCAGGATGCAGGGGTGAGAGAAGAAGTGTGAGATGAGCCGTGTCCGCAACTGGGGGAAGGGAGCTCAGGACTTGGGGCGGTGCCACGTGACCTGACGAGAGGTGCACGCCAGGCTCCGAGGAAGCAGGGTGGGCCCCGCCCGGTCGGCTGGATGTACCCACTCTCGTAATTAGGACAGAGATGCAGCAGCAGAACCGTTGCACCAGGTTAAGAACCAGTTCTTGTGAAGGGGCCGCTCTCATACTTGGGGGTGCAGCTGGGCCCCCTCCCCTCAGTTACTCATGGGAAACCCGTTCCAAGGCCACATAGAAACTGTTCTTGTCGTCGAGGCAATGCCAGCCGATGGGTCCGATCTCACAGTCTGCGCAGACCAGAAACTTGATGTTGCCCACGTCCTTGGTGAAGCCCACGTTCTCGAAGATGAACATGTCCTCCACCAGCCAGTGCTCCTGGAGGAGGTCGCCCTCGGGGCTGCTGCCCTCGGCCAGAGCCGGCTTCTTCCTCATGGAGGGAAGGAAGAGCTGCGGGGAGAACACAGGAATGCCGCGCTGAGCACCGTCACACCGCACCCCGTTCACGTGGGCTTCACGCGGGGCCCTCACCAGCAAGACACGCAGTCCTATCAGGTCACAGACGAGGATGCGGGCTGCTCCTCTGTCGTCCGTGCCCTGATTCTAAAGAGACTGAAAAAGGAACTCTGAGCAGCTGTGGTGGTAACTTGGCTTCACTGCTATCCTGACCTTGGGCTTCGAGGCCCCACCGGCTCCTAAGCTCCCCGGAGCTTACCCTGCTCGAGCCACACGGGCCTTCCTGCCTTCCTCAGGCGGGTAAGTCTACTCTGCCCTCAGGTCTTGGCTAGGCCAGACCCTTCTTAATATTCAGCTCAAAAGTAACCTCCTTGGTAAGTCTTCCTTAGCCAAACAATCTGAATTAGCTTCCCATAATGCCTGCTGTATTATTATTATTAATTTATTTATAAGGGAGAGAGAAACATGGCTTTGTTGCTCCATTTATGTATGCATTCGTTGGTTGATTCTTGTATATGCCCGGATCTAGGATCAAACCCCCAACCTTGGCGTATCAGGATGGACGATGCTTTAACCAACTGAGCAACCTGGCCAGGGCTTCCCAAACCCTTTCACAAAACAGCACGGACTCCATGTGCTTGTCTGGCATCGGCAATCACAATACCAGGTGGACCGGTGAATAATGCGGATTTTTTTCAATAGATGGAGTTACACATATGTTGATATAGATGCGATTTGATATGTATACTATTTTGTTGTATTGGCAACAAGCTTCAAAACTTCATATGTCAAATTTGCTGAAGGTGTTAACATCATAGATATTTTTACGCTTAAAAATGTCGAATTTCGTGCCAAAAAAAGAGCATTTTGCGGGAAGTTTTAATTCATTATTTTGAAGAAAAGTGCTGGTGAAAGTGATCGCATACTTCGGGAAGCTTATGGTGAACATGCTCCATCTCAAGATAATTGGGAATGCTCGTTTAAATGCTTTAAAAGTGATGATTTCGATGTGAAAGACAAAGAACGTCCAGGTCAACCAAAAAAGTTTGAAGACCAATGATGACAAGCGTTATTGGATGAAGATGCGTGTCAAACTCAAAAACAACTTGCAGAAAGATTAAATGTTGCTCAGCAATTTCTGATCGTTTACAAGCAATGGGAAAGATTTTAAAGGAAGGAAAATGGGTGGCACATCAACTGAATGAAAGACAAATGGAAAACCCAAAAGTCGTCAGTAAAATGTGGCTTCAACGGCACAAAAGAAAGTCTTTTTTGCATCGAATTGTGACTGGCGATGAAAAGTGGATTTATTTTGAAAATCCCAAACGAGCAAAATCATGGGTTGATCCAGGTCAACTATCAACATCGACTGCAAGGCCAAATCGCTTTGGAAAGAAGACAATGCTCTGTGTTTGGTGGGATCAGGAAGGTGTGGTGTATTATGAACTTCTCAAACCAGGTGAAACCGCTAGTACTGATCACTACCGACAACAAATAATCAATTTGAACCACGCTTTGATCATAAAATGACCAGAATGGGCCAGAGGACACGGCAAAGTAATTTTGCTTCATGATGACGCACCATCACACACTTCAAAACCAGTTAAAGACACGTTAAAAGATCTTGCCTGGGAAGTATTAACGCACCCGCCGTATTCACCAGCCCTTGCTCCCTCAGATGACCACTTGTTCCCATCGACGGCACACGCACTTCCTGAGCAGTGCCACAAAACGTGCGAAGTGGAAAATTGGGTCTCTGAATGGTCTGCCTCAAAACAAGAAAAGTTCTATTGGGACAGTCTCCACAAATGACCTGAAAGATGGGGAATGTGTAGCTGGCGACGGACATGACTTTGAATAAAGCACTTTTGATGTTTCTCTTGAAATTATTGTGTTTTCTTTGATTACAAAATCCGCATTATTAACTGGTAAAGGGTCAATCCGCATTACTAACCGGTACACCTAGTAAAAGCAGGCAGCTTTTAAAAATTAAAAAAAAAATTGGCCCCTAATGTTTTACGGGCTCCTCAGAGATAGGTAACCACCACAACTCAGCAAGATCCTGTTGATGCCGCAGTTGCTTTTTCAAGAATATTTTCTTTGTAGAAAATACATTCTTAGTGTAGAAAACTTGGCAGGCATGCTACAATGTAGATGAGAACAGAAACTGTTACAATCGAGCGTAAACTTCTGTTAACGTGTTTCTAATTTTCCCCTTTCTCTGATTAAGGTGAGAATAAGAAACTCTTACAATACCGACGGAATCTCTGTGGTTTCTAACTTCTCCCTCCGCTGAGAACTTGGGGTGGTTTTAAGACACGGCCACGAATTCTGTGACAACCCTTCCACCCAGCGGAGCTCACGCTGTGCCCTGGAGCCGGGCAGGCCCTGTGGTGGCCTTGAGGTCAGTGCCCTGGAGGCCACACCGGCGCTGGGAGCCACTGGGCTACCCCACTGCTCAGGTGTCGCTGCGACCACAGTTCAGGAAAGACCCCGAGCGAGAACTGGCGGAACAAGGAGAGTCACAGGACCAGCTGAGACCCCAGGTGTGGGGTCCCAGGTGTGAGGTCCCAGGTGTGAGGTCCCAGGTGTGGGGTCCCAGGTGTGGGGTCCCAGGTGTGGGGTGGGGTCCCAGGTGTGGGGTGGGGTCCCAGGTGTGGGGGTGGGATCCCAGATGTGGGGTCCCAGGTGTGGGGTGGGGTCCCAGGTGTGGGGTGGGGTCCCGGATGTGAGGTCCCAGGTGTGGGGTGGGGTCCCAGATGTGGGGTGGGGTCCCAGGTGTGAGGTCCTAGGTGTGAGGTGGGGTCCCAGGTGTGGGGTGGGGTCCCAGGTGTGGGGGTGGGATCCCAGATGTGGGGTGGGGTCCCAGGTGTGGGGGTGGGATCCCAGATGTGGGGTCCCAGGTGTGGGGTGGGGTCCCAGGTGTGGGGTGGGGTCCCGGATGTGAGGTCCCAGGTGTGGGGTGGGGTCCCAGATGTGGGGTGGGGTCCCAGGTGTGAGGTCCTAGGTGTGAGGTGGGGTCCCAGGTGTGGGGTGGGGTCCCAGGTGTGGGAGGGCGCGGCGTCTTCCGGCCCCGCCCCGCCCCCGCCCCGGAGGTGCCACCAGCCCCGCTACACCGTGTCCCCGTTCTTAGCTGAACCCGGTCCCAGTGAGAGGCGCTGCGGGCGGAGCCCCCGGGTGCGGAATCAACCGCCTTTTCCTGCGGCAGGTTTAAGCGGCCCATCCCTTTCCGTCCTTCTCACGGGCGGCGGCGGCGGAAGGAGGGCATGAAAGGCCGAGTGACTTTGGAGGAAAGAGGACCTGGGTCCCGGGAGCTGAGGTCGCCTGCAGGTGTGCCCCCTCCCGGCGCCCCGCCGACCCCGCCCGGCGCCTACCTGCCGGCGGGAGAAGAGCGCCGTGCCCGGCTGCAGCACCCGCGAGCCGCAGCGCTGGCACAGCACCGCCTTCCGGTTCCGGCCCTCCGCCGACACTAGCTCGTTCCGCGGCGCCGCGGGCTCCATCGCCGCCGCCAGTCTCGGGCCGGACCGCGCAGGCGCGGCTCGGCTGGGTCGGTCTCGCCCTCCTGCGCCGGCGCGGCTCTCGTCGAGGGCGGAGCGGACGGCCACGCCTTCCTGCGCAGGCGCCCACTGCCCGCGCCGACTCTACTGCGCACGCGCAGACCCTCCTGCGGCCCTGAGTGACAGGCGCCGGCGGCTTTGTGACAGGTCCCGGGCAGGGCGGACACGAGTCCCCTGCACACTGACCCGGTCATCCGACTCCCTTACTATGGAGTCATCAGAGTTGCTCGTAACCCCCTATCTTCTGAGACGTGAATTCAGTGCCGAGCGGGAGGGGACGGAAGGCAATGTGGGTCCCACCCGCGGGGACACGCCCCCCTTCGCTGCTGGGAGCCAAGGGCCGGCCAGTGCTAACCGGTGACCTCTCACCAGCGGGCAGCATGGGGTGCAAGCGCTTGAGAACCGAGCTGGATTGTCACGACCTCCCTGTGGTTGTCGCTCATGCATCCGATGGGCGCAGTGAGCAAGGTCCGGGTCAGATCTGACCTCCGGGGTGCAGCGGTCAGGCACGGCCGTCATCACATCCCCTCGGGCAGGACAGTCAGAGTCCCCAGGTCCTCAGTTCAGAGCCGCGGGCTCAGGGTCCTGAACCCAGGCGCGCACGGGGTCAGGCCAGGTGTCACCCCCCACCCCCCATGACCCACCTGCATTTCCTCCTCTGTCAACTCGGCGTTCACGGCGCATTCTCATAATATGCCAACCGCTCAGGACCCTCGGCGATGGGCACTTGGTACCAGAAATAACTTCGACATTTCCTGAAAACTCGCTGTATGTCCGGTGCTGCGATGATCCCAGCTGTGCTTGGGAGAGTTAGCAGGACAAATGGAGGGCCTGGGCTGGAAGACAGGGAAGTGGCGAGGACATCAGGAGGCCACTGCTCCGTGAGTCCAGGTGAAAGGCCTGCACTACGAGGGAGTAAAAATACAGGAACGGATTTGGGACAGAGATAAAACCGTGCAGAACCCAGAAACGAATCAAATGTGTGCGCACAAAATGAACAATAGCTTTCCGCGGTGGATAACCAAGTGACTGGCTTCCAGTTAAGAGACCAAGAAAAGCAGGAGGAACCGCCAAGTTAGGGGCACCCCTGGGTGGGCAGGATTTGTGTGTGACGGGGAGGCATGGAGAGGGAGCACTGCACAACAGCTGGTTGCGGTGTCGTGTCTGAAACTCCTTTGAGGAGCCACCGAGTCTGCCTCCCCAGGGGCTCTAGCTGAGCGAGGCACCCGTTTCCCAGCTGTAGTTTCACCAGCAGGCAGTTCATCTGCTAGAGAGCTGGGCAGGCTTCTTCAGGAACCACTTCCTCTTTGGCTTCCCTTTCCCTTTGCTCTGGGACTATCTGGACTTCTGCAGTTTTGCAGGCCTTCTGCATAGCTGATTCTATCACGTGCCATAGACTGAAGCAAACAGAAGGGCTGGGATGATTAAAACCCTGAAACTCAAGTGGATACTAAACGAGCTTCTTCTTGATTCCCTGTAGGGTTCAAGGACACGCCTCGTGTGAGAGGAGTCAATGAATATGGCAAATTCAGAAACATTTTCCTGGTGAGACTCTCGTACCTGTGTCTTCAGAGAAACAGTGGAGCCAGTTGGCAAACACAAGGCCAACAGGTTGAAGACTCGGGACCCACAGCTGATCTCTATGTCTGCTCCCCCAAATGTAGGAGGGCAGTGCTGGTTTGCCACAAATTCTCTTAAGACATTTGAGACAGATTATTTTTAATATTTTCTTAAAAATATACAAAGGAAATGAACTCTTTAGGTCAATTCAATTCAGGGAGAGGAGAACATGGAATTTCAATGTAAAGGGAAAGGGTTTTCGTTTAGGTCATCACATTCCCACACTCCCAATACCATAAAGCAAGAATTTCACTCTGTAGCACAGGGGAGCCTAGAATGGTGGCTCAGAAATGCTGAGAGCAGGTACTGGATAACACAGGACTTTGGGTTGTCCTTGGATTCTTCTGTCCTGGGACGAACATAATTCACTCTAAGGACAGGTTGGGAACCCAAGAGTAGGACAAGGACGAAATGTACCAAACAGCAGTAAAAACCACCCCTTAGCGAAGTGTGCGCTTAAAAGGACGGGCAATACCAAGTAGCGGAACTTCCAGGCTGCTGTACCCCCACCCCTTCCCCCAATAAATAGTACGGAAATGTTACAGCATAGTAGCATCTGATTCCACAAAGCCCTCTCCCCGAGGCAAACCTGGCTGCGGGGGATGAGCCCTGGCAGGAGTGTGACAAATACAAACTCACAGGTACTTCTCTGTCCCCCACTGACTCCACTCCGCCCACCGACACTTGTTCACCGTGCTTGTCTCGCACAGGCACCAGGGCCAGGCAAGCCACACTGCAGTCCAGAAAGACCGGGGACATCAGAAGACCCTTCCAATATCCACCCTGTCTTCCAGGCCTCACGTCTGTGGAGGTCTAGGCTCACTCACGCCAGTGAGTTCAGGTCACGTCACTCAGCCCAGTTCGGATACAGCAGCTCTGCCCCCCAGGAGTGTCACACAAGTTTCTCCCAAGCCCCACAGCTGTGACGGGCGCTTCCCGGGGTTCCCCTCCAGAACAGAGCTGTGCTGCAGCTACCTGCAGACCAGGAAAGACACTTATTCCTGGAAAACAGGACTTGCACTTTATCAGGCCGACTCAAGTTGGAATCCTTCCAATCCAGGCGTTGGCTGGACACTGCCCACCTCTAGTAGGCCACCCTCACCTTTGTTCTCTGCAACACACGGGCACAACGTATGCATGTCCTCCCAAGCACGTGGTGAGTCAGACACCACCAGAGAGTGCTGCCCAGACAGGAGGTGGCCTGGCCTCGCATATCCACTCAGTGCATTCTTTTCCCGTGAGTGTCCGTTCACCACTCTACTCAGGGACAAGTCCCAGCGCGAGGGGGAGTGTGTGCAAATAAAGACCATCATCATGGCACCGGTGCTTGTAATCGCCCTGAGCACACAGCGAGCAGCAGACATTCTGGGCACGATCCTTGATTCTCCTGCTATCTGGCCCCTGGACTGGTCACTAGCTCTGGATGGAGCTCCAACAGGTCACTTCTCTCGGAGCACACACACGCCAGCATCACAGCGCTGGGTTCCCATGGAGGTCACCACTTCCCAGCTGTCGATGACAGGGTCATAGCACTCGATGCTGCTCAGCAGGGAGTTCCCATCATATCTGAGTGGGGAAGAAGCCAAAGGGAAATGAGCTTTCTGTTCCTCTCCACCCACATCCCACACTGAGGTCGCCATGGAGACATCTCCCCTGACCCACACCCTGTCTCCACCCAACAGTGTGCATCGGATCATGTTGCCCTGATGCATGACGGCCCCAGCCTGGTTTTAAATCCTCACCCTGCAATTGCATAAAGCCGACCCCGAAGCACCGTGGCCCCCACATAGCATCGAGGGGTGGTCATGCAGGTGACAGCCGTCCAGGAATCGGTACGGATGTTGTACGCTTCAACGGAGGAAAGGTGGGCTGTGCCATCAAATCCCCCCACCACATAAATATGGTCATTCAGCAGGGCTACTCCTGCACCTGGAAAGAAGGAGAGCAGGTTACTACTTCTGAACCGAGGCTGGATTCTAGAAAGAAAACACGGTCGCTGATGGCCAGCTGAGTCCTCAGGTAGCTCAGGGATGGGCACAGAGCCAGACAGGCCTGAATGAAATAATCAGCCAGCACAGGTTATCCCATCTGTAAACCCACTGGTGGGAGTTGAATGAGAAGAAAAGCACACAAAATGGTTCTCACCTTCACTTTAATTAATTCAGAACCCAACTCTCCGTTAACAGAAAAGAAAGAAATGGAAAAAGAAGGCAATGAAAGAGAAGGAAGGAGAGGAACTGTGACTGGTTCTGGAGCAGTTTGTACAGAGAAAGTGAACACAACAGCACAGTGTTCTTCTGCCTCAGAGCCCAGCACTCGCCCACGTAACACGCTAAACACACACGACTGTACCAGACGTGAGAATGCTGGGATTTAAAAAATGAGTAAAACAAGAGGCTTCTGTCCTCAAGTGTCTACTCCATCTGAAAAGCTGTCTTCATTCTCAGGGCACGGAGATCAGAGGTGAGGAGGAAGGTGAAATCTGACGCGTGCTTCGCTGAAGCCGAGCAAAGAGGAACTACAACCCCGACTGACGGGCTGTCCTGTGACTGCCCCCCGCCCCCCTCACTGTGCAAGCAGAGACCTGATGGCAGACTGCCCCTCCCTCAGACCCGACGGTCTTACCAGAGCGCTTGGTGGCCATCGGTGTGACATTAGTCCAGTGTCCTGTATGGGGGTCATATTTCTCAACTGAATTTAAGATATTCAAGCCGTCGTATCCTCCTGAAAGACAAAGTAGAGGCCATTCCAGAAAGAACCACAAATCCCGGCCCCACTCTGTCTGCCTTTCTCTGTGTTCCCACTTGATCCTTAATCTCAGTTCTCCTTCAAGGGTTCCAACAGTCCAAAGAGAGATCTAACAGAATCCCAGATCTGCTCCCACGAAAAAGATAATCCCAGTTAACGGAACTGTATTGGGATAAACCAGGGTTTTAGTTGAAGGCCATCTATGACCTTGATTCTGGTAAAAAGAGAACCCTCCCCCCCAAAAGGCTGCCACCCATGACGCCCTCTCCCATCCCTGCCTCCCCGGCTCAACACCTAGACAGTAGATCACGCCGCCGGCCACCACCAGCCCCGCGCCTTCCCGGGCTGTCTGCATATCTCCCAGCATGCTCCACTGGTCAATGTTGGGGTCATAGCGCTCCATGCTGGTGTGACGCCTGCTCCCGTCAAAGCCTCCAGAGACGTAGATCATATCTGTTCAGAATGAACCAACCACAGACTCTTAGAGGATTTTTTTTAATGTTGTGAATTTAAACATTTTAATCATAAATCACTCTAATTATATCAACAACAGCCTCATTCTTCACTAAGACATTTATTTATTTATTTTTTAAATTTCAGTTCTTTATTGT